CCATTATTTCAAGAAAAAAGATAGGGAAGAGGAAGGTCAAATTTGTTCAAGAGATGTTGATCATGGTCGAACCTTCTATGATTTTTATAAGAAACAACGACCACATATTTTGATAACCCCGCGTTTAGCAAGTTTCACTTTGGTCACCCATTGTTGTTACGTGAAAAACATAGAGTCGCCATCGAACTTTATTTATCCCAAAGAGAAGGGGACACGTCGAGAAAACCCAAAAAAAGGTGAAGAAAATGGTCCCACAACCAAATTTTGGTTTGGAAGTCGGTTATGCAAGAGGAAGATATTAGCACCCCTCACATCTGTTGTACTCAACGAGATCCGCTTTGTTTGTTTGTTACTAAGAGTGTGTTATCTAAAGGTTTACTTGCTATGAATTATGAATGATTTAATTAGGGGGAAACAAAAGATTTTAAATTAGTGAGCTCTCTTCTGTTGTGAAATCTCGTGCCTAGATATCCCCATGGTGCAATAGAGAAATCAGAGCTCCATAGTCCGTCTAGAAAATAATGTTTGTTGATTGTTTTATGTGGACTATGTTACGTTCACATTCCACAGTTAGGTGTTACCGCTTGTCATGTGGAGTTATGTGTTTCCTGTTTGCGGTAGAATGGAAATAACATGCCCTTTCTGAAAAGGTTTTGAGGTTGAAAGGCCCTAAGACAAGATGTCACATTTGATTGGTTGAAGATTTATTGTTAGGAGACGCATACCAAATGCTCCCCCAAAGCTAAGGGTATTTGAATATACAAGAAGTCAGAAAGGAATGCCCCACCAACTCCTTTTTCATGCTTTAATTATTAAATTGTTTGTGATACGTATCATACTAAAGACTATGAAATGGGGGAGAATACTTTGAATAATCGGGCCAGGCGTCCCATATTCAAAGAAACTCTAAGGTGAGTTAAGGAATGTAAGAACAAGATTTGGTTCTGCAATATTATCTCTGAGTTTTGATGATAACAAATTAGTATATTTGTATGAATAATTTTGATACTCTAATGTTTGTTATTGTTAAGTACTTAACAAACAGGTTCTGCTTCTGATGGATGGCATAGCCAAGACATTAGAAGAGAATGAGTTATGCTTCTGTGCTACACAGGTTCTGTTGAACAGTAGTAAGACACTCCAGAAGGCTCTGAAGTGTAGGCTCTGATGTTTATCTAAAGAAACCGGCCAAAAGATCTGAAGACAAAAGTTTCTACTTAAGTCCAGATGCTGAAGACTCATGTTTCTGAAGACAACGGGTTCTAAAGAAACAGTCAGAAGATCTGAAGACAGAAGTTTTTACTCAAGTCCATATGTTAAAGACTCAAACTTCTAAAGACAACGTGTTATAAGGAAACAGTTAGAAGATATGAAGACTCAAGTTTCTACTAAAGTCCAGATGCTAAAGACTCAAGTTTCTAAAGACAGTGTGTTCCAAAGAAACAAAGTTAGAAGATTTGAAGACAAAGTTTCTATTGAAGTCCAGATGCTAAAAACTTAGTTTTTAAAAGACAACTTGTTTCAAAGAAGATAAAGTTAAAAGATTTGAAGACAACGTTTCTACTAAAGTCCAGATGCTAAAGACTTGTGTTTCTAATAACAAGGTTCTTAAAAGGATTCTTAAAGAACCAAGTGCTAAAGATTCTAAAGATGGAAGTTATGAAGATTCCAAAGACTTGAAGTTCTAAATATTCAAGGTTCTATATAGTGGGTTCTCAAGACCAAGTGTTTAAGACTCTAAAGATGCAGTTCTTAAGACTCTGAAGACTTGAAGCTCTTCTAATCCAAGTTTCTACAGACCAAGTGTTGAAGACTCTAAAGACGCAGTTCTTAAGACCCTAAATACTTGAAGCTCTTCTGATCCAAGATTCTCTATAACGAGTTCTCACGACCAAGTCCGGAAGACTCTGAAGACTCTAAAGACTTGAAGTTTTGAATACCTTATGTTATGTTCCCACTTCTAAACTCATGCTCGCAGAAGCCTCTAAAGTGTAGAAGGAAAGAATATAACATTAACATGGTACAATAATACACAGTACGAAAAAGCCTTATTCCACTAGCTTGAATTATGAAAGAGAAAATGACGTAGTAGTACAATTTGTAATGACTCTTATTCAAATAACCAATGGATCTATTTTGCTTGGCTATATAAGAAAAGAATCGTATTTTTAAAATGTTATTGGTGTTCAATGTTAAAATTAAAGTTGTCATTATTGGAACACAACCAAAAAGCTATCAACCACTATAACAATAACAAGAACAACTTTTATCAAAATGATTCTTCAATCATGTTGATAATGATTACAATGAAATCATTGATTCACAATGTGCTTAATTTCATATGCTTCATAAAGCTTGCTAAGCCGCATAAGATAATAAAGATGATCATGAAAGCTCTAGTTACACAACACAAACGTTGTGCTCTAAAGTGATCATAGAAGAAAATAGAACAAGGGCTGCTATCCAGAATGTTCTAAGGTGAATCAAGATGAAGAAGTTCTTCTCTTTACTACATCAAGATCAACAAAGCTTCCAGAAGCTTATGAAGAAGAAGACTTTAGCAATTCAAGTGCTTTGGGTTATTGTCTGAGAAGAAGCTACTTGAAGAAAATAAGACCACACACCATATACAATTCAATGTAATATTTTTAGTGTGTATTAGGATCTTCTGATGTATGCTTAAATTATGTTTACATCCAACTTGTGTAGAAGCATATCATTGTAAACAAATGTAAATCAAACAATTGTTTGATGATACCTTGAGAGACTGAGTAAAAATCTGTGCTCAAGAAGATAATGACTGAAGGTCATTATGAAATCTTGGTAGTGGATTCTTATTGGGTCAATGGTAGTCATATTTCAAAGGGGACCGAGTGAAGGCTAGCCTTGTGAGATCACTGATGGATATCATTGGAAGGAAATCCTGGTAGGAGATTCTGAGGGATCAGATTCTATTGGGTCAATGAATGTTATATCCAGTTTGGATCAATGAACGTGTCATTGGATGTTAGTCAGTGGAGGTTGCCCGTGCGATTGTAATCAGATTGGTTATAATGGTTTAAGTCCTTGAGTTCAAGGTGAAATCACCTTGTTAGGGTGGATTGGACTAGCTTGGGAGTTTCTCAAGTGAACCAGGATATATCACACGTTCTTTACTTTTTCTTATGCTTTAGAGTTTATGTTTTCTTAACTTAATTAGAAGCATTACTTAGAAGTAATATTCAGAAGCATTGTTCAATGAATAATGCTTAGAAGTGAAAGTTTGTCAAGAAAGGAAAACCCAATTCAAACCCTCTCTTTCTTTCTTTTCTTCATATCTTCAATTGGTATCAGAGCCCGATTCTGTTATTGATGGATATCAAACACCTAACGGTGTCAGATAAAGATCCAGATGTTGTGTAAAGAAATACACTAAGGTGATAGTTATTCAATTTTCAACTACCGTCTAAAATCAGAAAATTGAAGAACAAGCTAACAAGAAAAGATTCATCAGATAAGAAGTTATATCTATTGAATGCTTTGATTAAGTTTCTTGAGAAAATGAGATGTTTTCAAGAAACCGATTAGTCCACCCTTGACTTTCTCATAAGATCTTATACAAAAGATCTAAACATTGGCTCTATCGAAGAAGGATTTGTAGAAGACCAGACATTGCTGAGGAAAGAATTGAGTCATCAGAAGTATGATCAAAGACAAACTCTAAATAAGTTAGCTCAGCATTGCATGAACAAGATTGTCAGTCAAAATCGACAAAATTTGATGATATTGTATTAGAACAAATTTTGCAATTTGTTCAAGGAATCAAAAAATTCATAAGACATTAGGCAATGATAGTTAATTCTCTCTAGAACATAGCTTCTCAGAAGTTCATGAAATATTGACCTTATGAAAAATAAGCTTTTGTTCAAAGGAAGTTTGACAAACAGATGGATGTTTTGATAATAAAGGATCATAATATCTGTATTCTGAGGATTATTCTCAAGAAGTCAGATGGGTGATTCTAAATAGAAGAATGAAGAGATCATCTGAAGAGAAGATTGATCCTAGCTCTCAGGTTAGAGTTAGAGTTCAAAAGAAGGTTATTCTTCTCAAATTAGAAAACTGAGAATACTCAAAGAAATAAGAGGAATCAATATGAAGATAATTCAGAACCTCTGAAATACCGCTCTGAAGAAAGCATAAGAAGAAAGAAGTTGATCAGAAGCTGTATCTAAGAGAAAGATAAAGTTAAAGACATATGGAAAATCTTCAAGGACATGATAAGCCTGATCAGAAAATCTATCAAGGACCAGCTAAAGTAAAAACCAAAATGTAGAGCACTCAGATAAAAGAATCACGGTGAAGATTTCAGAATCTCAAATGTATGTTTTCTTTTATCCATAATTTATTAGAACTTCTGATAAAAATACTTCTACAAGTTAGAACATGTTTTAAACAGAAGCATTCCAAATGTTAGTGCAACTCCAAATTATGAATTTTCTGGTTAAGTGAAAATCTCATGATCTGGAACATTCTCTCTTTCCAAGAGAAAAATCTTTTAATCAATTTTGTGGATAATGTGAACACATAAGTTCTCTTGAGAATGAGCATACAATTTTACGTATGATGTATATGATGATAGCTTCTCATTTAAGTAACTATGTTCAATATTTTTCTATATCAGTTTTCGGTCTGTCACCTCTAAATGCTGATTCACTCAAAGTCCTTATTTGGAACTTGTATG